AACCTTCCCCCAGCAGACCATTTTATAGCCGTGAGGGAAAACCTTCCCCCAGCAGACCATTTTATAGCCGTGAGGGAAAACCTTCCCCCAGCAGACCATTTTATAGCCGTGAGGGAAAACCTTCCCCCAGCAGACCATTTTATAGCCGTGAGGGAAAACCTTCCCCTAGCAGACCATTTTATAGCCGTGAGGGAAAACCTTCTCCTAGCATACCATTTTATAGCCTTGAGGGAAAACCTTCTCCTAGCATACCATTTTATAGCCTTGAGGGAAAACCTTCTCCTAGCATACCATTTTATAGCCTTGAGGGAAAACCTTCCCCTACAGACTATTTTATAGCCTTGAGGGAAAACCTTCCCCTAGCAGACGCGTTTTATAGCCTTGAGGGAAAACCTGAAAGAGAAAGTCCAATGAGAACAATATCTGCTAGCGGTGGATCTGAATCGTTACAACAACTATCCCACGATGAGTTGATGGATGAGTTGATACATACTTTGAAAGCCAAAGATTCAAACTTAATGAGCATCAGACAGCTTAAACTCTTAGAAAGTTCCATCTAAACTAACTAAAACATCTTGGATCAAATAATCTCAATGATTTGAAAGGCTACTATAATTTTGAAGTTCATATACAATGGTGGTCATCATTCATAACAGATTCCAATAATGAACATATGAAAGTTTTGATCTATCAATTACCCACCAAAGAGAAGTGAAAAGAATCTCCCTAATTGATGAGTTCTGATGGCCACTCAAAAATCCAAGAACCTGCTGTATAACATTTCAAAGTTTATGAAACAAGTGAAGTAACTAAATCAAGTCCCCAAATAAAGCATATTACACAAAAGAAAAAGGAATTTGACAAGCTCTTCCCTCTCCCAGCCCAGCCACCAGAGGCTAACACCGTGGTAACGTGGACGAACACGCTTGAATGAATATTCTAAGCCATATCTCTATCTGAAAAATTACCCCTACAGTAACCGATATGTCAGTTAGAAGAAGAGGAAACAATTACTTGAAAGGTAGAAGCCCAAGATGCCAAATGCTCTTCCTTCATATTTTCATTCTCAAGGTTATATCGTTTATTTTGATCGTAGATTTGGGTCGATAATGCTCATCCGTGTCCACCTCTTCAATCTCCTGAGGAATACAATGTTTCACAGACATCAATATAATGATGATGTTCAACCAATAATCTTGCAGGAATAGTTACTACATCAAGTACAACAACCAAATGAAATGAAACAGAAAACAACTTAATTAGGTGTATCGATTCCTAAAAAACTGTAAGAAGATGTCAGGTAAAGAATATTCTAGCGGAAGAAGTTCAGTCAGGTCTGAAATTTGAATTTGAAATTTCTCACTCACTAAACTCAATTAGAAGTGAACATGTTAGAAGTACTTCACAACGTAAAGCAGAAACCAAAGTTATTCTCACCTGTACAACGTGTTCTCCCTTAATTACTCGCCCAAAGATAATCAGCTTCTCGCTAAGATCTGGAATTGGTGCAGTTGTAATGAAAATCTCGAATCCCTTGTTCTTGGGATTCCCCCTTGGGGTCCCGACTAGAAAAGCGTCGTGTTTTAAACTGATTGTGCATAAAAAGTACAACTATCAGGTACAACCGAAATTGAAAAACGGTAACATATCAAACGTCAACAATGAATTACGAGGCACCAACCTTGCATCAGGCTGACTATGATGCTTTCCTCCCAGAATCCAATCTTCTGCGACTCCAAGATCTTGGCTATTTCCCACTTGAATTGAATAGTGTTTTATCACATGGTGAAACAGCATTCCACTAAAACGATTCTTTTGACTGAAAGTCCAATGTTTCAAAGGAGAACGTTTAATTCCATGCGAAATTGTAATACTATTTAAAAGAAAGAAAGAAAAGCCATGACAAACTATTAAATTAGAGTTTCAGACAAGCCATGGGAAATTATTAAATTAGAGTTTCAGGCGAACGTTATGCCAGGAAAGAGTAAACGCACAATGAGCCCCTTTTGAAACTTCATTTTTTGAAGGCGGTGTCAAATGGCAACATTCAATTTGACATGTTTTCCTCAAGCCACTGTTAAATCAAAATGAAATGAAGACCCTCCACAGTATGGAAAATTATATGTTTCATACTTATAATGCTCACCATAAATAAATAAACTCATCAACGACTTCAGGGGCACTTTCTTTGTAAAGTTCCACAACGATTGTGCCCTTTGAAGTACTGAAAACCTAAGAACAGCGAGAAAACATGACGATTATTATAAATTCACAAGTTCATACTGAAGTAGAAGATAAAATTTTGTTTTAGAAAACATCTAAAGATATAAAAGGCAGATGGGGGATAAAGGTAAACCTACAGCATATCCAGGTAGATCTGTTTTTTTTGCATCCAACTGTAAAGCTTCGGTCTGTAAAACAAGTAATGATCAGACTCAAAAAGTAGAGATAAATCATGAAATAATACCAAGCTCTTAAAATGCAATGAAAACTTTACGTTATGAAGATAAACTTGCACCGTGATGTGCAAAATTATATTAAGGATTATTAGGGAGAATATTAAAAAATGAAAAAGTGAATTGAATCTGCTAACAAATAAACTTAGAAATCATCAACTTCATTCTAAAATAAGAATCAAAATTGACCTACGTACCTCAGAACCTGAAAACCCATTCTCTGATTGAAGTTTTGACCTGAATTGGGACGAAGAAAAGTTTAGCCAGTAGTTGATATTTCAAAACAGCTCCAAATTCCATACAAACATACCAAACAATTATCATACAGAAATATTGAATTATATTCTGAATCTCAACCATATAAGTATTGAAATTCTCATCAATTTCATGAGAATACGAAGTCGGGAAAATGACCGCTCTGATACTAACCTGTAAGACCAATGTCTGTATGTGGTATGAAGGAGAAACACGAACAAAGCAACAATCAAGCTGCATGTCAGAATTGTTGTAAGACCAATCCGCGAGGGTCCTTTCTTCTTTTTGCTTTGTTGAAGCAAAGTTTGCGGCTTAATCCTTGCCATAAATTCGCTTCAGTTTCAAGCTAGAGAGAGTTCCACTGCAGGAATCCATAAAGAAGAATATGAGTCCTTAGAACTTCATAGTTTATACAAGTCATTCCAAATCCAAATTTACAGAATCAGAAATATTGTTCCACTTCACAAAATTCTTACAACTCTAAAGCTGGAAATCCATGCAGCGCCGTAGCGAGCATATGAAGGTAGGTGGCATTTAAAACACATGATTCACAAGTGTATGGAAAAAGTAAATCAAGAAACTCATCACATAATTACTAAAAAAGGAAAATCTCTCGTCTAAACACCATCAATTCTGAACTATCTAACAATAATCAACTGAAATCTACAAACAAGCTCTGAACCACGATCCACCGACCAACCCACAAGAGTGCAAGCGACAACCAATCCATGACCTCGCATGATACTAATTGAATCAAATAGATCAAAGTTAAATCATCCAGTTATCTAAACTAATCCCCAGATAATGAAAATTTTCAAGCAAACCAGATGCCGAATGATTCAACAAACTCATGGAATAACTTCGATGAAGAAGCGTTGTGGATTTCACGAGGGAAGAATTACAATAAGTACCTGAAATTTCTCAAACCGCCGCGAATTTCTCTGCAGAGGCAATAAATCTGGCAGTTGAAAAGCCTTTTGTGAATTCAGTAGCCCTTTTGTTCGAAACAGAAAGAATCTCGAGTTCCAAGTTTTCGTTTTGAATTTTTATTTTATTTTATTTTTATTTTCTACTTTCTTTTTCCAGGTAAAAGACGCTGGAAAAACGAAATGGGCCGGGTTCGGTTTATCCATGGACCGGCCCAATTATGATGACTCATTTCCTTAAGATTATATATTAAACTTTTATTTTGATATATATTAGGTTTATACGGTCTATTAAATCCCAAAAATTTTAAATTATATTCAATTTTATTTTAATATATTATTCAATATTTTTAAAAATTTATAAGCCTAGCAAATACAAAATATAAAAATTTAATTTCATAGACATAAAACCTAATTTTATATTTAATAAATTAATTCATTTAAAAAAATTAACTAAATTGACGATTAATTTATACAAACGGTATATATATATATATATTCCTGCAAAAATTTATCAATTTTTTATTTTTTATTTTAATTTTTAATTGAATTCTTGAATTTAAGGATTGCAGAAATTAAATTGTATTATATGGGCATAGCTGAAATATCGTAAACCCAGTGGCGACTCACCGGAAGGCCTGTAGTCGCTGTAGTAAGGCCAGTTCTTCCGGTCTTCTCTTTCCATGCTAGTAACCAGATCTGCTCTTCCGGTCTGATAGTAGCGTGGAGTTCCAATCGTTCGTAGAATGGTGCTCGAAGCAGCTGCACTTTGCTTTGCAATCTTAATCTATTCAATTTCAGTGGCTTCCGCCGATTCAATCCATGGCTGTGGTGGATTCGTCGAGGTAAATGGACTTGCTTATCCGAGTCGTTATATATGACTGATCGGAGAATGCGCGGGAGTTTCATTTGGAGCTTGGAGTTTGGACTGAGATATTAACCGTTAGATGATGTAGGCTTCGAGTGAGAATGATTGAGCATGAGCTGCGAAGCATCTTAGAAATATTAAGCTTGCTTGTTTTTGTAGCTCCTGATCTGAATTTTAGTGCGCATGCTCAGGATTTGAAGTATTGACTGGACCTCGTGAACTGCGAGATTTAGATTTATGGAAGCGGGAGTTTTGTTTTCGTTCTTCTTTATCGCTACTTAATTTAGATCTTTCATGTTGCAGGCAAGTTCGTCCTTAATCAAGTCCAGGAAGCCGAATGACGGAAAGTTTGATTATTCTCGTATTACGGTATGTATCATTTTTTGTGCCTCTTTTGTTACTATTTCAGCTCGACAACCGTTTTTGGTCGAAAGTTTATGATATATGATTCCTTGAACTTAGAATTTTCAATCGAGTCCAGGAAGCTGAATGATAGGAAATTGAATATACTAAACTTTAGTTTCTACATTCGAATATCTGCTGAGGCAACATTGTAACTAATACTCGAGTCGTATTTTTATTCATTGTATTGCAGGTTGAGCTTCGAACAGTGGATGGATTGGTTAAGGACAGAACTCAATGTGCTCCTAATGGCTACTACTTCATTCCAGTGTATGACAAGGTATTTTAACGTAGATATTCGCAGAATACATTTCTCACGACAGACTGAATGGGAACTCCACTCTTTCTTTGGTCTACGAGTGCTAGCCATATTACTATTGGAGGATATTGTTTAATTTTTCATATTGATCACCTCAATTTACAGGGTTCCTTCGTAATTACGATAAATGGACCAGAAGGGTGGTCTTGGGATCCAGATAAGGTTAATCACCTGCCACTTTTTTATAACATTACTATCAAGCATTTCAAATTTTCTTGGATACATGGCTCAGTTGTAAATATTGACTTTCCTTAATTTCTGCCATGGACAAAATTTTCTTAGGTTCCTGTTCTTGTTGATGACACTGGCTGCAACGGGAATGAGGATATAAATTTTCGTTTCACAGGGTTTGTTTGTTTATTTTTTGTTGAGTTTTTCCAAATATCTTTTTATTTCTCAACGCGTATAATTGTGTATAATAAAATCTACTGTTGAACATCTTTTATTGCAGGTTTACATTATCTGGTAGAGTTACAGGGGCTATTGGGGGAGAGAGCTGTTCAAATATGAATGGTGGTCCAGCAAATGTAAACGTTGAACTTTTGTCTCCTAATGGTGACGTTGTAACTTCGGCATTGACTTCACATGAAGGGAATTATCTTTTCTCAAATATTATACCAGGTTTGAAGATTTTTTTTTTTTTTAAAAAAAAAATTTAATTAGCTTAAAGTTTGTCATATTACATTTTCTCCAAATGCTAGTTGAGTTTTTAAATTACCGTTTAGACCTTTTTCCAACTTGTAGTGAAAAAAGAATTGGAACTGACTATACTGGGTAATATGGTTAACATATGACCTGTTAATTGCAGTGCGAAGTGTTATAAGATGCTACTAAACTCTTATCCATTTTGAAAGGCTGTTTTTTTCTTTCTTTTATTTATTTATTTATTTTCTTTTTAAGAAAAAAAAAAGACTTCACGAGATTTTTTTAATTTTTTAGAAGGCTAATTGCCTTTGGCAGATCTGTTCAATCATCTATATGTAGTACCTGTATTTTGTTGGTCCCTCAGATTGTTATTTCCCCCTTTAGACCACATTCCTTTGAAAACGAGTGTCCAAATTTTTGATGCATTAGATTTATGTTTTACATTTACACTCAATGGTGCAGGGAGATATAACTTACACGCTTCACACCCCGACTTAAAAGTTGAAGTTAGAGGTTCCACAGAGGTGTGGTGCTTTTCATCCCTCGACTCCTAAATCATTTTTAGTTTTAAGGTTACCGTGCCCCTCTATTGGTGATTTTAATTTCTACTGAGTCACACCTCTAGTGTCCTATTCCACAGCAAGTTTTAATATGATTATTGACAGGATTGGGATTTATGGGTCATTTATAACGAGGGATCTTTTATGCAGGTTGAATTGGGCTTTGGAAACAGTATTGTCAATGAATTCTTTTATGTCACAGGTTATGATGTCCGTGGATTTGTTGTTGCTCAGGTAAACAGTCCTTTGGGAACAACACTCACAGTTATTCCTCCATTATTTTTTTTCTGAACATTCTACTCTCTTCTATTATTTTATTTTTATTTGGTTGATATTGTTGTGACCAGAACACATTTTAATCATAACCTCAAAGTGTTGCGTTTTGAGAAAAAAATACAGAAGCCTTCTTTTTTTTTTTTTTTTTTTTTTTTTTTTGTTGTTGTTGTTGTTGAGATAATTGAACTAGGAAATCCATTAACGAACCCTATCTTATAAGATGAGATTTTTTGTTTTCAGCTTTTGGATTTCCACTTCAAGCAAGCTTTCTTTTCACCATCTTTTATGTGTAGACAGTAAGTTTGTGTGTTTGTTTTGGTAGGGAAACCCAATTTTGGGAGTTCATTTTTATTTATTCTCAGACGATGTTAAAGAGGTTGATTGTCCACAAGGTCCTGGTAATTCTCCTGGACAAAGAAAAGCTCTATGTCATGCTGTATCTGATGCTGATGGGATGTTTAGATTCCAAGCGATACCTTGCGGTAATTATCTATTTATTGGTTGTCAACCATTCTAATTATCAAAGTTCTTCCGTGGAGTTGAACTAGGGTTGCTTGTTTCTCTGGACTATTATTCCAGTGGCTAATTGTAGGAGGCTTAGTTTATATTTTTGTTTTAAACCTTTTCTTTTGATGTCATTTAAAATTTTCCCTCTGAGTTTTAGTTCTAAATTTTTTCTGAACTAAAAAGAAATTTTCTGTCTGAATTACAACAAATATCAGCAGCTGTAGCATCTTTCATGTGCCTAATCTTAATTGGTTAATTTTCCTACAGGCCGTTATGAGCTTTTGCCGTACTATAAGGGTGAAAATACTATTTTTGATGTTTCACCTAGCATCATCTCTGTGAATGTTGAGCACCAACACATTACAATTTCTCAAAAATTTCAGGTACCGAATGTTATTTCCACCATGTACTGTCAGCAGTTTATTGAACTTGAATTAGAGGATTGTATAAGTATACGATCTAGCATGATCCCTACGTGCTATCGAAGTTTCTTGTCATGGTGCTTCTTCACTTTTTTTTTTTCTTAATAATTTGAAAAATGAAAAAAACTTTAAAGCAGGTGAAACTAAGGCCAAATCAATTAGTTTGGTCTTCTGAATTTCCTCGTGCCTATATTTTCTTTTTCTCTGTCTCCAATATAACAGCGAATTTACATTTCATCAACGAAAAGTTTCATTTCTTGTTAATAAGAAACAGTCAGTCTACATATAATTTTGTTTCCATCCTGACCGATACCCATAATTGAGTTGGGTTTTAGCCTTTTATGTAGTTTATCCAAGTTTACTTATATATGGAGTATGGAGCTTCTTTTTTGTTGGTTTGTTTGTTTCTAAGTCTTTCGGACAAAGTTGTTGGAAAAGTTCTTGCTTCTTTAAATGTTTATTTATTTTCGTGGCTAATCTCTATTTGGTAGTATATGATATTTGTACTTTTTTTTTTCTTTTTCACCCCCTTTGGGAGTTTGTATCCCTCGAACATTTATTCCTTTTCATTATATCAATGAGAAGTTGTCTCTTGTTAAAAAAAAAAAAACTGCCACTTTTAGTTTTTATTCTGATGAGAGTGAAGAAACATTGTTGATGTAAAAAAGAAAATAAAAGACGAGAAAAATTTCCTGGGGTTAAGCTTCATCAAGCAAGTAGAAGAGAAGAGCGTAATAGGGTTAAGCTTCACCAAAATGTCATCGTCTTAATCTTGTACCTTCTTTAGGCATGAATTGAATAAGTTGGAAGTTACCATGTATAAGTGTAATTTAATGAGTGTTTATTTACTTTGACTTAAAAAAAAATCAAAGTTTTCTGATTCTTGCTGGTTTGCTTAGGTTACTGGATTTTCTGTTGGCGGCCGTGTTGTTGATGCGAATGACTCAGGAGTTGAAGGTGTCAAAATTATAGTGGATGGTCATGAAAGAGCAGTCACTGACAAGAAAGGGTTCTACAAGCTTGATCAGGTATAATATATTGTTTCATGACTCACTGATTAATAAAGAAAAAAAAACAAAAAAACAAATTCTACTACTCAAGAGTTTAG